AGATCGTGTAAAGTTTGCTCTGTGCTGCGTACCGGTACACAGCGTGCGTCGACTACTACACATTTCTGTGGCGATTGCAACGATATTGGCCCAATCTTCCTATGTATGCGCGCTCGCCGCAAAGTACGTGAGGTGGCGATGTCATGCTGGGATATCTGGCATAAAGAGTGGGCAAATGGAAGTCTGATCCCGGTGGACAACGGAAAGAGTATACGGGTGCGGCACAAGCCACAAGCTGCCATTCCGGGCTCTCCATTGTCACCAGGCACGCCAAACACTCCAGCGTCTAACAAGAGACGCAGGACAAGTGCATAAGTAGTCAGCTGAATATTAGACTGTCCCTAAGCTGCATATATATTCAACATAAGTCAAACTCTTGTTTTCTATTGATTGTTCGTTGATAGACGTATTACTGTAGCACATCCTTAATTGCATCATTCTTGCACTTCTTTGTGTTGCTAGCCGTGTGTTCGCGCATGTGATGTCCCTCCTACTTTCTGTATTTGGGTTTTGTATGAAACAAAACACGTACAAATCCGTTTCCAATGATTACTTTGTTCTGTAGTGGTGATACACCTTCTAATACTTGGTGCCTCAGTATGGGAAGTTTGATATTCAGAAATTTTGAGAATCTGAACAAACGGAGCTTCAGTTTCTGTTCAATGAGATTGGTGTGCTGCCCCGTCCATTTCTGTTTTAAGACGCATTATTCAGTATATATGAAGTGTAAAGTGAAACAATATGCAGAGTATATGCATTTTTAGCATACTTTTGTAACTGCCCTGCTCATATCAGTCTTCTGCCCTACCCCAATACATACAAATGCCAAGGCTAATTAAACTGAATACTGAATATGAAAACACTTTTGGGACTCCGGGCTGGAGGGGTTAAGGAGGGATACAAAAAAGCTCAAGGAGGGTCAATCTGGAGCAAGATCTGGCATGGAATCAAATCCGGTTTTAGATTTGCCAAGGATAGTGGTTTACTTAGCAAGGCAGCCGATGCCGCCGTTCCAGCGCTTGCAACTGCGCTTGGTCAACCAGAACTCGCAGTACCCGCCAGAGCAGGTCTTAAAGCCTTAACAGGAGTAGGACTGGACGGATATGACAGTGAGGAGGAGGGTGGTCGTATCAGTATGGCTGACGTAAAAAGACACGCTGGTAATGCTCTTCGTTATGCTAAGGAACGAGGCATCCTTACGGATATTGCCGACGCTGGTGAGCGATATCTAGTCAGCAAGTCTAATAAGAAAGACCATCATGACATGATCCATCAGGTTCGTAAGACGATTAAATCACGTTATGGCATTGGTGTCTCTAAACCACGGAAA